TAAGTAAAGGCAAGCAGTCGGTAAAAGCATGTATCAAGTAAAAGCATATATCTAGTAAAAGCAGGAAATAAGTAAAAGTATTTGTCAAGTAAAAGCATGAAATAATTAAAGGCTTGGATAAACTAGTTCTACCTGCATACTTTAACCCATGACAACACATATGCACTCCTCACCATAAATATTGTCATCCCCAAGACATGGAACACGTAGCAGATAGTCCAATCATATCCTAATTTCCTCATCAAGAATAACTACGATACATACCTCTTTCTGGAACCAAATCAACAACTCTAACACAACTTTGCCTTTAGCACAACCCTCCAAAAAACTTGAATCTAGTCAAATATCTCTCAAGCAAGTTAAAACAAGCTTTAGAAACTATCATACTATCAAAAATGTTCGTTCTTTAACATATTTGAAAAAAGTCAATAGAAAGTCAATCCAAACCCACTTAGTCGAAATCCAAAATCAAGATCAAATCAAGAGCCTAGCATCTGCGAGCTAGCAATCGCAAAAGGGATGAATGTAGCACCAGCAATGCCAAACTTAGCAAAATCTGTCCGAAATTAATTGGAAATTCACCTGAGCCCCTCGGGTCCCAATCCCAATATCTATACAAGTATAATAACCTCATGTGAACTCGTTCAAAAGCTCAAAATATCAAAATAACATCAAGAATCAAGAGTCAAGCATCAAAACTCAAAGATTTCACATGTGCATAACTTTAAATTTTTAACTTTCCACAATAAGGCCTGAAACGGCCTCGGGTCACCTGAGACCCAAATCAAACATACGTACAAGTCTAAAATCATCATACGAACCTATCAGAATCGTCAAAATACCGAATCGAGGTCGTTTACTAAGAATGTTGACTTTGATCAACTCTAAACAACTTTAAAGTTCAAAATTCAATTTTTTCTTTATAAAAAAAACACATCTAAACTTTCTGAAAATCAAAATGGACCACACACCATGTCATAAATCATCAAATTAGGCTATTCAATGTCTCAAACCACGGAACGAAAAGCTAGAGCTTAAAACGACCGGGTCGTTACAGTTAGGGCCATTAATTTTAATTTAAAAACCGTGCAAAAAATAACGAAAAAAGAAAAAAAATGGTGATTCATGTACCGTTATGGCAATGAATTTTAATTTAAAAATCAGGCAAAAAATAACAGAAAAAGGAAAAAATAATTTTGGTAAAAAAAGCCGAAATCGAGCGAGAACGGCGATGCAAAGCTTGCCTTCTTTTCAACTCTTTAAGAACTAGTAGAATTGCTTTTTATATAAGCATAATAATTTTCCTCTTTGGTTTTCGAGGGACAAAATTTCTTTGTAGAAGGAATCTTTTCATTTCCGTTTGTTCCCATTCACACCACATATAAAAAAATCAATAAGTGTTCCTAACATATATAATATGGAAAAACTATGGTGCATAGAAAGTGTAGCATCTAACACTAACAGATAGAGTACGCGTTTGCGCGCGCGTGCAAAGTAATTATAATTTAAAGAATTTTTGTTCAACTTTAAAATTTAAAAAAGGACACTTTAAAAGTCTTTTTCTTTTTTAGAAAAATAGAAAGGACACCTTGAAAAGTGAATGCTTGAAAATCCACTATATGGGAGAAGCAATCACCTAGAAAATCTTGTAGATTAGAATACTTTTAAGATTCATCCTTCCATATTTTAGCTTACAAATAGGGGTAAACAAATGAAACCGACAAACCGCATCAACTCGATAATCCTAATCGAATCGAGAAAAAAAAATCTGACTATGGTTTGGTGTTGGAAAAAAAAAACCGATCATATTTGGTTTGTTTTGGTTTTAACTAAAAAAAGTCAAACCGAAACCAAACCAACCCGACATTATATGTATAGAAGTTTTAAATATATTTAATACATAAATATATTTATGGTAGTGTAGTTTATAAATATTTCTTAAGTTTTTTCATAGTTTTATCTTTTAACGTATTATTTCAATTTTGAGCTTATAATTTTTGGATGCTCCAATAAGTTTTATAATGTTGGATATCTATTTTACTATGAATCCTAAACCAAAATCAAATCAATACTAATGCTAATAAAAAATATTCAATTCAATTGTACTATGAATGAAAATAGTATTGGATATCTATTTTTTAGTTTTTCCATGGTTTAGATAAAATATATAACTTATTTTTCTTTTAATGGTTAGTCATGTAAATAATAGTACTTATTAGTCATAATTTTAGATTATGTTTGTTTTCATTATGACTTATTAATAATATTTATTTTATGTGATTTTATTATTTTTATCGTTGAATATTTTAGTACAATGTCATTACTCATCTCATATTTATGTTATTTTATTGAAAAACACCTTATATAGTTCTGTCTTACTAAGATTAAAGAAATATTTGGAGCACAAATTTTACGTTTTGTGCTATGAAGACTTTATGAAAAAAAAACCGAAAAAACCCGGAAACTCGAAAAACCCGAGATTAAAAAGCCCGACTTTTATTGGTTTGGTTTGGTATTTAGATTTAATAACCCGATACAATTGGTCTGATTTGATAATTAGAAAATCCGAACCAACCCGTCCCATGTACACCCCTGCTTACAAGATTCCCCGAAAGTATATACCCTGAAAGTATATAGTAAAGAAAAGACAGAAAAAACGCAACAGTATAACGCCATATTACATCGTACGTACTTCAATTCATCCGTCCATGTGGTGCCAATATTTTCCGCTCAATAGATTATTGAATCAAAATAAATTGTATACCTAAATATAATTTCCGCGAAAAATGGATAAATAAAGGCCATGGAGCTGGTGATGTATAAAGTTAGGAGTTCTTTTTTAATTATTCTCAAACCAACAATCCTCTAAATAGGGGTGTATATGGGTCGGGTTGGTTCGGAATTTTTAATTATCAAATCAAACTAATGGTGTCGGGTTTTTAAATTTATAAACCAAACCAAACCAACAAAGTCGGGGTTTTTAATCTTGAGTTTTTCGGATTTTCGGGTTTTTTCCCGGTAAAGTCTTCATAGCATAAAATATGTAACTTGTGCTCCAAATATTTCTTAAGTCCTAGTAAAATACAACTATATAATGTATTTTTCAAGAAACTAACACAATAATATGGGATAAGTCATAGCATTATACTAAAATATTCAATAACAAAGAAAAAATAATAAAATTATATAAAATAAATATTGCTAATTAATAAGCCATAATGAAAATTAACATAATCTAAAAATATTATACATGTCATGCTAAAATAAGTATAGCTAATAAGTACTAATAATAATTACCTAACTAAGTACTAAAGAAAAAGATAGACTAAATTATGCATTTTCATTATAAACCAATGTAAAACTAAAATAATTATCCAATACTATCGTCATTCCTAGTATTGAATTGAATTTTTTTTGTTAGCATTAGTATTGATTTGAACTTTGTTTGAGTTACTTCATTTATGCGCTTTAAAATTTATTTACCATTCGAGAATGTTAAGTCTAAACTTGAAATAATACGTTAAAAGATAAAACTGTGAAAAAGATTAAGAAATATTTATAAATTACATTACAATAAATATTTATGTGTATAAAATATTTTTAAAAATTATATAAATGTACTATCGGGTTGGTTTGGTTTCGGTTTGACTTTTTTTAGTTAAAACCAAACCAAACCAATTATGGTAGGGTTTTATTTTTCAATACAAAACCAAATCAAACCACATCGGTTTTTTTTTCTGGTTTGATTTGGATTATCGATTTGGTGCGATTTATCGGTTTTCTTTGTACACCCCTACTTCTAAACCAATATATTTGAAACCATGGAAATTTAGCAAAATATGGTTTCCTTTATTCTCAAACTAGTTAATTTATCCGCGCTTCACGCGGGATATGGTAACACAAATAAGATTAATTCATGCATCGATATCATGAGTTTCTTTGTTACTATAAGTTAAACTTCTTCCAACTACGCCAAAAAGTACCAAAAAATAAATAAATTCAGAAGGCGAGACACTCAAAAGAAAAACACAACAATATATTACAAGTTAATTAAGTTCACCAGTTTAGTCTTTTCAAAATCTACCTTGAAACTGTGCTATAGCACATGAATGGAAAAAATGATGGGGAAAAAGCAAAAAAAATAAATTAAATAATATAGTTAATCAAATACAAACATTACTACCGTAGATAAAGAGCAAAAACTGATATGCATCTATCCTGGAGAAACCCAAAAAGGCAAATAAATAACTTGTGTATGAATGGAGCAAGAGAAGTCCCGAGATTTCGATTTTTAAATCGAGATCCAGTGGCAATGATATTAACATTATGCTCTGGCCTCTGGTGTTCTCCAACATGAGGACTCTTGAAAAACCGCTAGCTCATTCAACACTTAGTATTGCCTTGTCAAAAAGTACATGGGAAGTAATCCCAACACTATGAGTTTCTTTTGCTAAACAGCTAGAGATAATTTTATGACTCATAGTCCAGTTGATGTCTTGTAGTTCTATAATTAAAACTAATATCCCATAGTAACAAACAACAATCAGCAATTGAGAAATCATATTAGTAATATTTGTGAGATTTCAGCAATCGAAAAATCATACTATCTTTTTTTTTTTCCTTTACCAGCCTGAGCTTGAGTTATTTCCCGAAATTAATACATTTACAAATTGGTCATCACTCCCGAAAGTTTTTTTCATGTTTAAGATCTTTACGTATTCCGAGTTAATCCCTACATTTAACTTAATTTTATCAAGAAAATGACAATTTTTACCATATAAACATAAAAGCCATAGATATACAGGAAAAAAGAAGATTTTCTTTCTTCCTAAGAAGTTGGTATGGTACAAAATAGGGCTAAGATGCTGAAAATACAAAGAAAAGGGAAAATAAAAGGGAATAAGAACAAACCATATGTATGTTAGCCTCAAACATCTTCCTGTGTGAATAGGCGAATCAAAAGCTAAGAAGATCAAAATCCCAAAAAGTTACAACCCATAAACATTAAATTTGCATGGAACATATAGTATTAAAGTACCAAACACAACATATGATCTTACAAATTTGATCATAACATAATCTGTCGCATTGGATCACTCCTCGGATTGGATGGAAAAAGCACAGGCTTTCTGATGTTGAAACATGATCAAGCCAATCTCTATCTTTGTGTCTATGGATCATAATTTCAAACAACTTCTTCACTACAAGTATATATATCTTCTTATCGCTTTACAATTCTCTTCTTCTGACCCTATTAACTCTGTAACTTGCTTGTCATCATTTCAACAAATGGAACATGTTTTTCTCTCCTGTTCTTTGCCTTCAGAGTCATTGATTATTTTGTCCTTTCATCTCCTAAGTTCGTTCTTTTATTTTGGCAACATGAGCAGCAGTAATTTATCTGGAAAAGGAAAAGAAATTGAAGGGCATATAGAATATCTCTGCAAATCTGCAATCTATGTGTTCGCCTTTTTTCCATATAAAATTCTGAAGCAGGAAGAGAGTTAGAAAGGGATTCCAAGTAGCCCATTTGTGTATAGAAAATTAAATTTGATAGAATGCGATTACCAACACAGATTTTTGGGGCTGAAATCTTTAGCAGCTACTTGTTCCCGGCAACTCTGACGCATTTCATTGAAGAGCTACAATGAAAAAAATTCCAAACAAAAGTGTAACACACTCTAGCAAAGTCAACATTCAAAGGCCATGAATTGCTATGAAAATTAAAACCAGGGGCATCAACTTTCACCGACATTCTTAACTGGTGTTATAAGTAGTCGTAAAGCCATCTTACTGTTTTAACCCCTATACAACAATTAGTATGAGACATTTTTCGCCATTTAAGGAAATCAAATTCTGATTGAAGTGATAGATTAGGATAATTCAACTTAATTTAAGAGGGCAACATACTGCACATAAGCCGCTGGAATATTGCAAATGCCCACTTTATCCTCCCCTTTTCACAAGAAGTTTTATATAAGTTTTGATGCGCTAATATTTAGAGGTAGTTTTACGTGTTAGGACAACTTGAAAGTTAAATGAAATAAACTCAATAAGTTGAAAATCAAGTCATAATTAAAGGGTTACATATGAAATTGAGCCCCAACACGAAAGTAAAGAAAGACAATTAATATTTAAAACATATTGTAACACGTTTATATGTGTATATTGATATCTTTTTCGACCTTTTGAATAACATCGAGCGTACGGGTATTTAATATTTATAGGGACAAGGAACATAACATCTGAGATAAAATCTTAGCCAACTCAAAAAGATATAGACATGGGACCATCTTAAAGACTTTTAAAGAACTTCTTGAACAATTCCTTGCAACTCATGCTCCTTCTCTTAAAATTTAGCTATTGAGTAATGCCCTTCTGGCCTGCCAATATTTATAATGTTCAATATTATAGTAGACTCTGTTGATGGATCTAAAACTTTCACTCTTTATAGCATCAGCAGGGGAAAAAATAACAACGGAAAAAGATAAGAAAAGAGAAATCTTGATGACTCTGGAATTAGACATTATCATAAGAATTCCACCGATAAAATCCTTTGAGTGGTGTATATTTGAAGAATTCCCATATTGAAGAGTTGCTAGTTGTGCATATAAATCTTATGGAGGCAACTTTTCACCTACACCAAGGAAATAGAGTAGAAGAATATAATACCTCAAGATAAATGAACCATTGGAAGTTTCTAGAGTGACCTTTTAGGCCCTTATTCTACACTCCTCCACATCCCTGTTACAAAGCTATAAATAATCATAATAGAAGAGGGAATAGTAAATTATTCAACACGGTAACAACAAATAAGTGAAGTGTATCACCAAATAAGTTAATCACAAATTTAAGAAGAGCAGTTAAAATCAGAAAGCACAAATGGGTAAGATTACCTTTGGTCACAATTGTTGAAGGAGAAAACCCAGACTTGATCGTAGAGAGCGTTTGTTAAAACCTGGAAAAGACGCTTCAAGCACTGAATTAGCCAATAAGTGCATGTATTAATCAAATCAGTTAGACAAACTTGAACAACAAAGTTGCATTAGAAAGCTAAAATATTAACAAAATAATTATCGACAACATCTAACTTCCTTCAGTGCTTTATAAAGCTAAAATATTAACAAAGTTGCATAACTGGAACAATGGGAGCAAAAAAGGACAATTAGATGGAACTCTCAAATGGAAAAGGGAAAAGGATAAATTAGGAGAATAAAAAGCAGTAGGGGGAGATAAAAGGGATTACCAATTTCTTTTTAGTGCTTGTACTCTATTGTAGATTCAACTTAGAATGTTGTTTCTATGCTAATTTTGCACTGTCATAATTACGAGATAGGTAAAAAAAAAAAAAGCAGTTCTTTAGCAATGGAGGAGAGGAAACTGATATCATCGGTTTTAATTGTGGGTGAGAGAGATTCTGGAACAAGAAAGGTAGGTTATTGAAACGGACGCCTCTTTTTTGCTGGCAGTTACAGAAGTGTAAGAAGCGTTGGTTGGAATGACACATATTTTTTCTCATTTTTAGCGGTGTAGGAGTAGAATGAAGGAGATTTTTTTTCTTTTAATAAAAAAAGAAGAGAAAATAGATAAATTTGGATGCTGGTATCTGGATGCGCCACATCACCGGGTCTATACCTCTCTTTTATATATATATATATATATATATAGATTGACTTCCTTAATATATGAGTGAATATTATTCTTTAGCTAATACTTTTATAAAACTAGTTCTAAACTGAAAGTTGTATTCTCGTCATCATTCTTGTGGGTTTTTTTGGGTGAAACTTGTTATTATTCTGTATTACTGTAATAAACAATTAAACTTTCTGAAAAAATAAAACAGAAAGTTAGTAATACTTGTTTAACGAAATAGATTCTGGAAAACAAAAAACAGTATAGGAATAAATCGAGCCCACTGAATACACAGTGTGTCCTTAAGGAAATTATTCCCCTCAAGTACCCGAGGTGCTGGAATATATCCTCCCAGGATAGAATGATTTAACTCACCAGTGTATTGGTACCAAAACTTTGATGAACTGCGAACCACTCAATGGTCGTAAAACACACTGAAAAATATTGTGCAGAAAAAGAAGAAGAAGAAGCTCAGAAAATTTCGTAAGGAAAGATTCTGGGATTCGAACTCTATTTATAGAGTTGCTGGCATTGTTTCTGAAAAGGTTTGCAACCTTTCAGAAACAGCCATGGCTGTTGGAAAAGGGGTGTTTGAAATATTGCGGAAAAAATATATTTAAAATAATTCGGGAAAGAAAACGGGCATGACCGAACCGGGTCGCGGGTCATGGGTTATTCCGGATCGAATTTTTCGTTAATTATTTAATTAATTAATTAAATAATTGAAAGGAATTTTGTCCAAAAAGATTAATCAATCAATCTTTGACCAAAGCCGAAGCCGAAGCCGAGCCGAGCCAAGCCGAGCGAGCGACGATGACGACGGTGCGAGGCTTGCCTTTTTCTTAACTCTTTAAGAGTTAAAAAAAGAGCAATTATATATATACCCATCAAAAGTCTTTTTTTATCCGATATGGGACAATGTCCCTTTCCCAAGGGAAACTCAAATATTTTATTTTTCCTCCATTTCTCATTCAACTTCTTTAAGCTACACAAGCTTAAAATCCCAACAATCCCCCACATGAATGGGGAATGGCTATAAATTAAAGGAATGCACGGACGCGTGTGTGTTTTACATGCAAGAATTAATTGCATCTGGATAAGTAGGTTTTCCTTTGAACTTTTCGTAGTGAACTTATATCGGATATACTCGGTCAATCGGTAGATTTGATATCTTTGAACCGTCGAGCTTTGTTGTATACCTAGACAACATAAGTCACACAATCAATCCTTAACCATCTATGGTTCTCACGGTTGTGTTCGTTTCAGTCATGAACACCGCCTGGTTTCATGAGTGCTTAGAGAATGGGCCTTTACTTTCATTCCCCTTGAAGCGGCTTACACTTCACACTCACATAGGTGATTTCTAAACGTGTAATCCTATAGACACACTATCTGGTCATATCCTGCCAGACTTAGCAAATCATTAAAAAACCTTTAAGCTTTGTTGACTCATCAAAAAGCCTTAATGCTTTACCTCGATTTCTGAACATTGTCTTCATCACGAGAATGGGTTGAGTTATTTAAAAATGTTGAACCGTCATTCATAACTTTGTTTGATCTCTTTGAACCTAACTCATGGGATCTCCAGTCTGCTAGGTAGAGTTACCGTCATGATGACTTGTCCTAAACCTTAACCCCATTCCCTTTGATGATCTTTCAACTGCCTCTCTAGATAGGCCTTTTGTAAGTGGTCCGATACATTATCTCTTGACTTTATGTAGTCAATTGTGATAACACCACTAGAGAGTAGTTGTCTAACGGTATTGTGTCTCCGTCGTATATGACGAGATTTTTCGTTATACATAACGCTCCCTGCCCTGCCTATTGCCGCTTGACTATCACAATGTATACAAATAGGTGCCAAAGGTTTGGGCCAAAATGGAATATCTTCCAAGAAATTCCGGAGCCATTCAGCTTCTTCACCGGCCTTATCTAAAGCTATAAATTCAGATTCCATTGTAGAACGGGCGATGCACGTTTGTTTGGATGATATCCAAGACACTGCTCCACCCCCAATTGTGAAAACATATCCACTCGTGGGTTTAACTTCAGATGATCCAGTGATCCAATTTGCATCACTATATCCCTCGATCATGGAGGGATATTTGTTATAATGCAAAGTGTAATTTTGGGTATGTTTGAGATACCTCAAAAACCGTTTCATTGCCATCTAATGTATGTGATTGGGATTACTTGTAAACCGACTCAGTTTACTAATAGCACATGCTATATCTGGTCGTGTACAATTCATGATATACATCAAACTTCCCAATACTCTTGCATA